TTGCATTTCATTGAGCTTTTTAAAAATCAATATTCTGACTTATTTGGCATTTTGAGGATTTTTTGTTAGAATCTATTGCTAGAGAATTATTGTGATCCTTTGAAAGTGTCATAATACCTTGATTTTTCATGATCCTTGTATCTTTACATTGATCTCTGCATATCTGGGGTATCAGTCTTTTATTATTTTCGAATTTACTTTCATGGAGAAGGCTATTCTTGATGTGACTCTGGTGTATGTTGTGTAAGGCTGTTTGGCTGTGTGCAGTGGCAAAGATCGTATGATTTCCTTGCTTATAAATACCCTTAATATGATCTTTCTCAAATGCCAGTAATCTTTCTCAAATGCCAGGTATACTAAATGGGTGAATGCGCTCATGATTTCCTGAACTGAACAGCTGGGGTGGCATGGCTTATGCAGGTAGCAGTGGTCATAAAAACATTTTGTCATTCCTGAGTGTTGTGTTCTTATGTCGGCTGTTATTGTAATGGGCTGTGCAGGTTCACCTGCATGCCAGTAGTTGGTGCCTGCAGGTTAGAGCCAGCTAAAGTGGTAGCAGAAGTGTTTATGCCCAACCTCTTTATCTGAGAAAATTGCTCAAGTGGCCCAAGTGGTGCATTATACCATGGAATGTTCAGGGACATGAGTCTCATGTTCTGCCTTGGTTTGGAATTGAAACTAAGTGGAACCAGGCATGGGAAGCCTACACTTATTTTCCTCAATGGTAGATTAAAGCACCAGCCCTGTTGGGGGTGGCATGATGATACTCAGGCCTCTGGAAAAATGCATGGGTGAGGGGCAACTGCTTCTTCATCAAGGTCTCAGCCCAGAGAGGGAGGGGTGGTCCCAGTGCCACATTCTTAGCCAGTAGAAGTGAAATGTGCTCCCCCCTCACACCCCAGACCTGACATCATTCACTCTCCTGTACCAATTGTGGTAGGCAGTTTGGATATTTGGCTAGTCACTGCAATTTGCTTCTGCTTTCCAACAAAGTCCCTAGTATTAGAAGTCACTGACTTGGTCAATACCATGCCTCCCAGGCAATTCTCCTCCTGCTCTGGTCCTAGAAGAGAAACTCAGTTCTGGTACCAGTAGCTGGAGTCCACACTACACTCCTATCTCTGTTCTGACTGTGGGAGCTCCTCCCGTTTCAGCCCTAGTTGTCCATGCCCCAGTGAAAATCTCTGTAATGCCAAAGACTGCCACTGCTGCAAGTTCCCTTGACCCCACAGAGCTTACTAAGAGCTAAAATCTAGACTGTCATTTTTCTTTAGGTACCCAAGTCTGGGGAAGTACATGGAACACTTTCCAGAGCAGTTCCTTGTTTTAGTCTCCCAGCCATTACCCAAGATAGAGCTAAGGATTCAGGGAGTTAAGGTGCTCTCCTGTGGCCTGGATTTCACCATTCCCCAGTGGAAAAGTGGACTGCAGAGAAGCATTCACTCATGCTCTCCCATACTGGGGATTTGTACCCAGTATTTAGCTGGTCCCAGCCAAGAGAACTTCATGCCCTCCTTCTGTTTCCCAGATTCAGAATTTTTTTTTCATTTTTCTGCTTAACTGCTGTGTTCCTTGTTGTATAATTTTCAGAGAAGAACCGCTATTTTTGCTCGTCTAAATGGATTAGGCATGTTGGAAAAACCTCTAGTCATTAATCTTGAGGAAAATAAAGTATGTGTATATTTCTTAGACTCATCTTCTATATTGTATTTAAAATAGACTTTTTGAAATACTGCTTTTAGTGCTTGTCCAATTTTTAATTATTTTTCATTTTTATTTCTTTGTATTGGCAACATTGGGATAAATATTTTCCTTGTTTCTTTTTCATTTAAATGAATTGCAAGCTAATATCAAAATTTTACCACACATATTTGTTGTTCCAATCCGAGAGGTTTTATTTCACCCTATCATTGATTTATAGATAACACAGACAACTGCTGGGTTGTTAGAAATAAATATTCACTTTGTTGTATCATTTGCTCATTTCATTTCAGAAATTGATCCGTTATTATTTTACTCAAACATTTTATTATAAAATATTTAAACATTCAGAAATATTGAAAGAATTAGGTTTTGAACATCCAAATATTCACAACCAACCTTCTAAGATTAACATTTTACTATAATTGATTATTTATCATATTTATGTATTTATATCACTATTAATTTATTAATACACCTTTTTATCTTTGCAAAATAATATTTAACATTAATAATGAAATATTTCAAACAGGCACAATAGTAAAGGGATTAACATAAATTCCTAAATGCATACCATCCAACTATTAAATTCTAACATTTTTATACTTGCTTTAGCTTCTCTTTAAACAAATAATTCATTACAAATGAAATTAAAACATTTTTTGTGCTATAATGTGATCCCATTTCCCTCTCCTTCTTATGTTTATCTTTCCATGTATATTATTAAGATCCTAGTACATATTTTAGTATATAAAAATAACATTTATGTTGTTTTGAAGTTTACAGTATTTACCAAAACAGTTTCATTTTGTATATTATCCTGGGGTGTTCCGCGCAATATTTTGTCTGTGAAATTGATGCATGTTGATCGTGTTAGCCCATCACACCATTTTGCAGACCGCCACCATTTTACAACTCCGATCAGAGTGGAAAATTCCACCGGGGCCTGAGCTGTGAGAAACATCCTGTTGGAAAGGTCCCAGGCCTAAACCCTGACGGCAGTAAATTCATCCTGTCAGGTTCCACGTCTAACCCTGACTGCAGTAAATTCCTTCCTTTATCAACAGCCGAATACACCACCCCCGCCCCATTTTCTCAACCATCCCCAACCTCTCCTGCCCAGGCCTAGAACTGCCCCAACCTGTAAGAAGGACTGGGGCTCTGATGCTAGCTGCAGGCCTTTCTCCCAATAAACCTGTGTTGCCCTTGAGCCGCCTCTGCTCCATTCCTTTCTCCCTTTCGTTCTAACATTTGGTGCCAAAACCTGGGATGGGGTCTGGATCCCACAACAGAGAGGTACTTCCTTGCAACCTGGGAAGGAAGAGGCAGGGGCAGCTGGCGTCGGGCTAATTCCCAAATCCTGATTGGCCTCTGATTCCAAGCCCTGTCCATTTTCATCTTTCTATGGAGGAATCCTTTCTCTTGGCCCCATCCTCCCACCACTTTCTCCTTCCCCCTCTTTCCTCTCTGTGGCTCTGGCAAGGACCACTCCCATTGCATCTAACACCGGCCTCCAATTGTGGATGAGTTTCCTTTTCCACCCTCTGGATTCCTCTCATATTTCTATCTGTTAGCTAGAAAACCCCAGTGCCAGGTAAGAGGATTCCCCGGTCACCACTGGGTGACTCTGGCCTGCCTTGTCAGGGGATACCCTCAGAATGCTCACGGTCTGACCACTCTGGTTTCTGGGGGACCGTGGAGAGCTGCGAGGGGCACCCTGGCTCTTCTCGATCCCTTCTCATGGTTGTAATTGGGATACTCACTCCCCTACTTCACATTTTTCACCCTCCCAGCCACTCACATGGGACAGGGCTCCTCGAAATCCCCTCAAGACACCCCTGTCAGATGTCTCATCTGGAACCTCTGAACACTGGGATTGGCAGACTCCATTAAAACTAAATGCCTTATTTTCCTTTGTAATGTGGCCTGACCCCAGTATAAGTTGGACAATGATGGCTGCTGGCCCAAATGGGACTTTTGACTTTCAAATTCAACATGATTTAGAAAATTTCCTCCAGCACAATGGCAAGTGGTCCGAGATGCCCTATATCCAGGCTTTTGCCAGTTCCGTCTGTCAGTCCTGTTCATCTTACCAGCTGCTGCTCTTAAACAAGAAATCTGCCAAAATGCCTCCCCTTCCAGAGAAGTCCTCCTCCTCCTCCTCCGATTTTTATCCAGCTGACGAATCCCTACCTGCCCCCCAGCCCCACTCCTACCACCATCTCCTCCTTCCCCTTTGGCTCTACCACCCCCTTATTCCTATCTCTCATCTCTATCCTTTCCCCACCATAACTGATCTCATTCCCAGCCCCCTTCTGCTGCTGAAAACCAGGCACAGGCCCAGAGGCCCTCTAACATCTTCCCCTTGTGGGAAGTTATGGAGACTGAAGGCATAGTCTGAGTTCATGTTCCCTTCTCCCTAGCTGATGTCTCTCAGATTGAAAAGAAACTTTGCTCCTTTTCCACAGATCCCACGTCCTTCCGCAAGGAATTTCTGTATATCACTCAATCTTACAACCTTACCTAGCATGACATTTATGTCATCCTCTCCTCCTCCCTCACCCTGGAGAACAGGGAACATATCTGGATCAGGCCCAAGCAGACACCCTCCACTGACAAGATGCTGCCTATAACCCAATCGCAACCCTAGCTATTCCCAGAGCTGACCCCAGTTGGGATTATCAGGTGGCTTCTGCAGACAGACAGAAACTAGGCCATATGATAACATGCCTCCTAACTGGCAAGAATAAAACCGCCCTTAAGGCTATCAAGTATGAAAAGATAAAGAAATCACTCAGGGTCCCTGACAAAAACCCTGCTCTTTTTTCTTCCACCTTTCAGAGGCCATGATTAAATATTCCACCTTAAGCCCTGACACTGTCGAGGACAGAATCTACCTCCACTTACGCTTCATTTCCCAGTCAGCCCCCGACATCCAAAAGAAACTCCAAAGACTGGAGGATGGCCCTCAAACCTCCCAAAGAGACTTAATCACAGTAGTCTTCAAGGTCTTTAACAATAGAGAGGAAGAAATAAAACCCCAAAGTTTAAAAGAGACCAGGCTAAATACCAGATACTGGCAGCTGCCATACAACAGGATTCCCCAATGCATACAAAAATCCTCAACCTCATGACAGTCCCCATCAGGAGCCCGTTTTAAGTGTAGCCAACAGGGTCCCTGGGCAAGAGTCTGCCCCAATCTCATACTGCCCTCAAAACCTTGCCCCATCTGTGATATCAAAGGACAGTGGAAGTCAGATTGCGCTCAACAAGACTCTTCACCCTGCTTGCTCAAACAGGTCCTGCAACCCAGGTTCCAGTCTGGCAAGCATTCTAGACCTGGCTGCTGAAGACTGACGTGGTCCAGGGTCTGCTGCCCCCACCGCCTTCACCACCTCAGAACCCAGGGTAACGCTGTCAGTCTCTGGTAAGCCCATACTCTTCCTTTTAGATCTGGGAACTAGTTACTCAGTTTTATCAGAATATTCTCGACCCCTCCTCAGTTCTTCTATCTCTATTGTGAGAGTCAATGGAATCCCCTCTAGGCACAGATTGGTCCTCTATTATGCAACCTATTCAATACCCCCTTCATCCACTCCTTCCTAGTTATCCCTTAGTGTCCTACCCTTATCTTGGGGTGGAACATACTGAGTAAATTCCAGGCCTCCATACAACTAGCCTCCACCAATTCTACCCCTTTTACTTTACTCTGCTGCCCAGATGCTTCCCTCTCCTCCCCCTCATCTTCACTATCCATCTGTTACCTTCTGTCAATCCTGAAGTGTGGAACGTTTCTAAACCCACAATAGCCACACATCACATCCCAGTCAAAATAACCTACCAAGACTCCTCTATTTTCCTTCATCAGCCTCAATATCCCCTTTGCCCAACCAGCCTCAGGGGCCTCAATCCTGTTATCTGTAAGCTTTTACAAGCTCAGATTCTCAAACCTGTTAGCTCTCCCCACAACACCCTTGTTTTGGCTGTCAAAAAAACAGACAGATTTTGCCACTTGGTCCAGGATTTCCATGTCATTTACCAAGTGGATGTACCAACCTATCCAGTGGTCCACAACCCCTATACTCTACTCTCCCATATGCCCCCATCTACCACACACTTCTCTATATTGGATCTAAGGGACTTTTTTTTTTTTTTTTAACTATTCCCTTGGATCTGGCTTCCCAAAGTCTTCTTGCTTTCACCTGGTCAGACCCAGATACTCACACTTCTACCTAACAGTTCGTACTCCCACAGGGTTTCTGGGATAGCCCCCTCCTATTTGAGCAGGCTCTCACCGAGGATCTGACCGAGCTTCCCCTTGCTCCTAGCAACTTCCTTCAATACATCGATGACCTCTTTCTATGTAGTCCCTCCTTTGATCTATCCATCAACACATCACCCAACTTCTAAATTTCCTCCATGGCCAGGGATATCACATTTTATCCACAAAGGTTTGAGTAGCCCAAACCCAAGTCACTTACCTTGGACTCACCCTAACCCCTAATTCTTGAGCCATGCTATCCCAATGGAAGGAACTAATACAGGATATGCCCCTTTGCCACACCAAGAAGGACCCTTCCTTTTTGGACCTTGTGGGGTACTTCCAACTATGGATCATTAACTTTGGCCTGTTGACCAAACCACTCTGCATGGCATCATGTGGGTCCATCCTAGACCATTTGGACTCAGCTTGCCCATTAACTCCCACTTGTAAAAACTGAAAGATGTCCTTTTAATGTCCCAGCACTAGGACTACCCAACCCCACTAAACTCTTTACCCTGTATGTTCATTGTAATCAAGGCCTTGCCCGTGGACTTCTCTGCCAAACCTATGACAATAGTCCACAAGCCATTGCATACTTCTGAAAACAACTGGACTCTGTCATCCAAGGCTGGCCTCCATGCTTGAAAGTTCTGGGTGCAGTTACATTGCTGTCCTCAGAGGCACAAAAACTCACCCTCTACTAGCACATTACTATTGCATCTTCCCATAACTTATGGGACCTCATGAGCCATTGATCTCTTCTTTTCCTCCCGCCATCCAGCTTACAACAACCCTCTAACACCTTCCAGAGATGTAAAATTCTAAACCCAACCACCCTCCTCCCTATAAGTACTTCCAATTCTGAATCTCCCACTCTTGCCTGGACCTCTTAGCTTCCCTCTTCTCCCCTTTCCAGCACATTTCAGAAGCCCCTTTGTGGAAGGAACCCACATGGTTCATGGACAGAAGCTCTTTTAAGGAACCATATCTGGCAGCCGGCTATGCCATCAATGCCGAAAACAAACTGCTAGAATCCAATGCTTTCTCACCCCATATCACCTCACAACAAACGCAACTACTTGCCCTAACCAGGACCCTCACTCTTGCAAAGGGAAAGAGGGTCAACATTTACACTAATTCCAAATATGCATACCACATCCTACAGTCTCACGCTGTAATCTGGCCGGAAAAGGGATTTTCTAACTACCCAAAGAACTGCCATAATAAATGGCAAACTCATACACAAGCTGATGGAGGCAGCTAAACTGCCACTAGAGGCTGCCATTATCCATTGCAAGGGACACCAAAAGGCTACAGATGCCATAACTAAGGGAAACTTTTTAGCAGATTCGGCAGCCTGGCAGGCAGCCCTTAGAACACCATTGTTATTGCCCATTTTCCCTAGCATAAACCCAAGAAGAAAAAGGTGCCTTGCTGGCTCCAGGGCTATTCATAAGGAAAGCTGATTTTACTTAGACTACAAACTCATCCTACCCAAGACCCAAAAACTTTCTGTTCTCACCCACATCCATAACCAATTCCATGTGGTTTATCGCCCCTTGCCCAATTTCTAAAAACCTGTATACATTCCCTTACAATGGCCGTCAGCTTGGACCGCCTCACTAAACGTTGCTCTGCCTGCAGTCAGACTACTCCTCAGGGACCCTTAGACCACCTCCTTTTCCCTCCCTTCAGGCCCAAAGGCCAGTTGCCAGGACAGGATTAGCAAATTGACTTCACTCATATGCTACCCCATAAAGAAAGTCTGATATCTCCTCACGATGGTAGATACCTTTTCAGGTGGATAGAAGCCTTTCTTACTACCTCTGAAAAGGCTATACCTTCATCACACACATCATCCCTTGATTCAGCCTCCCTTCATCTATACAATTGGATGATTGACCAGCATTTATCTCCCAAGTCACTCAACAGGTTTCTAAGGCTTTAAACATCATATAGGTTTTTCATAGTCTCCATCACCCCTAATCATTGGGTAAATTTGAACAGGCGAATGCCCTCTTAAAACAACAGTTAACAAAACTTTCCCTAGAGATCAAAATGAAAACTGAATATCACTTCTTCTCTTGGCCCTCATGTGCCTCAGGACCCTCCCCCAAAAACCTCTAAATCTAAGTCCCTTTGAACTTATATATGGACATTCTTTCATCCTACAGAACTTTGCTCCATCCCCTCCCTTATAGGACACCTGGCCAGCACTGCACCTCACTCAACACTTTGTCCGACAGTATGCTGACACTCACCTCCCCAAACCTGAGGATTCTTCCCAACTCACTTTCTTACCCTTACAGCCAGGAGACTGCGTCTGGGTAGCAGACCTCTCCTCCCGTCTCCAACAAAATGGAAGGGTCTCTGTCAGGTTATATTCACCATCCCTGCTGCTGCAAAGTTAACATCCTTTCCCTATTGTATACACCATTCCAAATTTAAAAAGGCACCCGACCCACTCCGAAGTCTCCTCACCCCAGAAATATTCTTCCTTTCCCACAGGACCAACCTCGCCGTGCCTAACAAGAATTCCAGAAGTCACCCATCTGAAAGGCACTGGCCCATGACACTCTCCACTTCCAATCTTAAATCTTTTACTTCATACCTTGTCTCAGATCTCTCCTGGTACCCCTTCCCCACGCCCTTAGATAATCCATCTCAATTCCTCATGCTAATCGAGGAGCTATGGCTGCAAGGCACTTTCCAGGATTTCACACCTACACAAATCTCCTTTTTCTCCTTTTGCCTTCTCTGCTTATGGGATATTCTGAGTCCCCACCCCCAATCACTGACAGCTGGGCCCCCTTCGTCAGCCTCACACACCACCTGTTAAGTCAGTCATAATCTCCCCTCTCCTCTAACTGTTGGATTTGTCTTTCTACGCACACCCAGTGATTCACGGCTCTTCCGGCCAACCTACTTACATGGACACAGACCAACATAAGCTTACACATTTTTTACTCGGCCATACCATTCTTGGCTGATTCATCCCTGAAGCCAGTTCATAACCTGGAAACTCAACTGAACACCTTTCCTCCAAACTCAGCTCTCTCAGCATGGTTTCAGGTAGGGCTGTTGCCCTCCTTCACCTAATAGTTTCTGGACTTACATCCATACAAACCAACACAACGTCATCTAAACCACCAATATGGGGGTACCATTTCTACTCAAACTTCCTTCATATCCCCACCCACCTTATGTCTCAGCCGAAACTACCCTAATCCAGCCCACGCCACAGTGGTGGGACAGGTTCCTCAGTCCCTATGTGGTCTTATTCTTACCATTGCACTCCCTGTAGACTATCAATTCTACACCCTAATTACAAAATCAGGTCCACCTCTGCCTGGCAGAAGGTGTTATGCTTTTCTGGCTCACTTACCATCCACACATCCCTGCACCACACCACCGGATCCTCTCTTCTTTCCTACCATCCAATTCCCGGCTTCCTCCCGTCAACTCTGCTCTCTATGTCTCCAGTTTAAAGGTGCCCCCGGAAAAAAAATTTAACAATTCCGTCACCTGCAACTGGTACCTTACAGCCACCACACCAGGGCAGCAATGGCTAACAGTTACAAAGACAATTTCTCTCTCCAAAACCAAACAGCCTTCATCAACTCCCCAGCCAAGGCTCCCTATCAGGCCCTTACAGGTGCCACTCTGACTGGCAGTTACTCAATTTGGCAGAACGAAACCTTTTCATGGCTACCTACCTTCACCTACAACTTCTGCCTCTCCACCCCGTCTCTTCTTTTTGTATGATACAAACTGATATCTTTGCCTACCAGGAAAAAGGAACTTGCACCCTGGTCTTTCAAGCTTCAACCATCAACATCCTACCCCCAAACGAAAGTATTCTAATTTCTTTAGAAGCCTCTATCTCCTTTTCACCCATAAGAAATAAATGGGCTCTACACCTCATCACCCTGCTAACAGGATTAGGCATCACTGCTGCACTTGGCACTGGAATAGCAGGCATAACCACCTCAATCACCTCATACCAAATGCTATTCACAACCCTTTCTAACACCCTAGAAGATATGCACACTTCCATTATCAGTCTCCAACAACAATTAGACTTCCTCGTGGGAGTCATCTTTCAAAACTGGAGAGCCCTGGACCTACTAACCGCTGAGAAAGGGGGTACCTGCATATACCTC